ACAGTGAAGGAATCGATCCAGAGCAAAGAGAGCACAAACTTCCTTTATCCATGCCCTTTGCAGAGGCTGTCAACAGAAGAGGTGTGGCCCAGACTAAAAGTGGATCTTCCCACCCTAAAGATCTGGATTAGAGGGAGGGTCTGTCTATTTCAAATGCTTTAATTAAGAAAAAGTCCCTTACAGGTGTGCCCGGCCACTTGGGGTTTAGTTAATTTCAGATGTCGTCAAGTTGACAACCAGGAATATCCATCACAGGCGTCAGCTCCCTGGTTCCACCATGGGCCTTCAGATACAGCCTCAAGTACCCATACCCACTGAGCCAGTTCACCCACCCTGATCAAACTGTGGATCTTCATGGCTTTAAAAAGCTTAACAACGGTTAAAAGACTTCTGACTGTTCAATGATCCAAACTTAATTCAAATCAAACACAATGAATCGGAGGCATTTTTAGCCGTGCTTGCCCATGTTGCCTCTCAGTTCCAGTGCAGATCTGATCCTGAACACATGTATTCTCCCCTATTTGAAGCACTATGCTAAGTCATGCCAATGTATCCTGTTGACTACCTCAGCTCGGATTTAAAACTGTTAAATGTTGGGATGTAGACTGTCTCTTACTATCTAGGCAACGTTATCAGCTCCTGTAGAAAAATAAGAGCTTAACCCTAGAAAAGGTCTAGACTTTCATAATTCCTAATTTTATTCTTCAGCATAAGTATCAAATTGGTTTATCTCTGAATTATATTATGCTAGGATGATTTTTTTTAAACTTCCATTTTAGTTGTTGACTTAAATTTCATTTTAAAAAAATATATCAATTTTGGGTTAGGATGAGGAGAGAATTTCAGTGGCTCTCGATTAGAACTTAAGATTTGGCCTTTCTGTGTAGCTAGTATGACACCACACATCAACAAGAATAGTTTTAAAGGTACAAAGAATATGAAGGGGATGAAGTGCTTAAGAGTGAGTGCTTACTCAGGGGACGTGAGTTCACTTCCCAGCCCCCATGTTGGATGGCCACTCACAATTCCCTGTAAATTCAGCTCCAGAGAATCTGACACCCTCTTCTACTCTCCATGGGCACCTGCACTCCCATGCACACAGACCCACAGACATATGCACACATACACATAACAGACAAATATTAAATAAATATTAAATAAAATACTTTAATAGACGAACATGGAAATCAGGGTGTGGTGGTAAGTGCCTGTCATTGCCAAAACCAGAAATCAGGAGGCTAAAGCAGAAGATTTTAGGTTTGCACCCAGCCTTGGCTACACAGTGAGGCTGTGTCTGAAAATACCAAACAAAACAGAAAACAAAAACAACAAAATGGATAGAGGGTGATTAATAAAGAGGAAAATAATCCAACGTTTTAAAGAAAGTCTACTGTATACCTAGAAATTCAGACACAAATACATCCTCCATTTTAAATTTATTTAAAATAATTCTGAGAAATAATTTTAGTTCTATGAAGCGCAAGATGGGACTGAGAATCTGGGGTTCTAGCTCCTACAGGAAATTCCGAAGCAGAAGCTTGGTGTAGACACTGTGTGTGGAGAACACACATATGTTCTCCACATATGTGGATATGTGGATATCCATATCCACAGAATGGTGGCAGCAGCTCACTCTAACCAGGAGGTTAAGTGTCCGGTAAGATTTAAAACAAGCAGTGTAAAAAGTGTAAGATGAACCTACTCATGGATCTTTGCTTTCTTTCATTCGTTTTTGAGAAAAAGATAAATGTAAGCAGGCAGAGAGATAAGACCTTGATGGCACGTGGGGCTGAACCCTCCTGATCACTCAGCCAATGAGGAAGTGGAGAAAGGACCTGTGTCCAGAATGACAAAGGTTCTTTGCACAGCGCTACAACAAACTGCCTCACTCTCACTGTTCTGAGTCCCTCGTGCTCTGATCATGACATGAAGATCTCTGCTATGCAGAGTATGACCTTTGGTCTTTCCGCGTGCTGGGATTACACATATGCATTGCCCTGTCATGCAGTGCCCTGTCGAGCAGGGTTTCTAAGGCAGTGCTTTCACATAGAACATGGGGATCGTGATAGAAAGTGTTAGCTGACCCTGAATGAGATCTCCTCTTTCTTAGAACAATTTTTATTCAAAATAAAAAGAAATCTGTGCTTGCTTTGGTAGCATGCCTACTAAAATTGGAACAATACAAAGATGATTAGCATGCCCCTGTGCAAAAAAAAAAAGACATGCAAATTCGTGAACTATTCCATTTATTTTCTAAAATACATAAAGAACTTTTTAAAAACTGGACATCAAGAAAACAAGTAACCCAAATTAAAAATCCGATGCAGATATAAACAGAGAATTCTCTAAAGAGGAAGCACAAACAGCTGAGACGCACTTAAAGAAATGTTCAGCATTCTTAGCCATCAGGAAGATGCAAATCAAAACTACTTTGAGATTTCACCTTTCATCTCTGTGAGTGATCTCTCCAACCCCAGAACTTCTATTTTTATCTGGATAGTATTTCTCAGCCTTTCTTGAAGATGGTTATGACCATGTGACTGAATTCTGGCCAAGAAATCATGGAACTATTACACGGATGTATAGAATACATTAACAGCTTCTCCCATAGGTGGTCATTCATGTGCCTCCCTTCTCGGTCTCTAATTCTTGATTATCAGCCATGGTCTCTAGCTGTGACTTAGATCATTATTGGCCGGAAACTTTGCCCTTTCCCTCCTAGAGCTTACCTGCCTTTCCTGTGGGAGTGATGAGTATCCATTTCTCTAAGCACCTTCTGATGAGGTACCCAGATACACCAAGAAGCACATTTCTATTAAGCACCATAGAAGCTGACTAGGTTCACAGCCTGCCCTGGCTGCCTGGTCACCCCTCTGTAAGACTCACTGTGAGACCAGAGTCCAGCTCAGAACCTCAGCAAGCTTGAGGAAGCTCACTGTCTCCTGGCTGGCCTTCTTTCCAAGGTCTCAATGTGGTATGTCTTTCTTCAAAAACACATCTCTGTTTATAATGTCCCTAAAATACTTCCAACTAGGAATTGTACACTCTATCTCTTCAAATCAGATCACCCTTGGCTACTGACCCCCACATAAGACAGTCTGAACTTGGTCATATGCCACCTCACCAGTCCTCAAACTGTTATACCTCCCGAACAGTAAGACACTACATTACACTGTTGTTATACACTACCCTACAGAGTTACAGGAGTATGCTGTTGTCAGTAGAGCCCTTTCACATTTGGTCGCATATCTGTCTTGGCACAAAATATCTGCTTTCCTAGTATTGTCATCAGAAAGTCATTGTGTGATAGAAAGAAAAAGAAGTAGGGACATGAAGCCTTTTTCGAAAATTAGAATTCGCCCTTGGAGTCCAGTTTAAGAGCACTAAGTTCTTATATGCACTGAAGTAATTAAATTTGTTTTTGATTGATCATATAGACATAAAAAGGCTGTACAACATCAACTAATTTCATTAGTGTCAATGAAGAGCAAGCTTTAAATGTGACTTCCCAGGAATGGCTCACAAGGAAAGCTAATCCACTGAAGAGGAAAGTTGGAGAGTTTGCTACAATTTCATGCTCCATGATAGAGTGTGGAAATCCAATGAAGAAGTAAATTATTCTTTGCAAGTTTGCTACTGGAATTGAAGACACATTAGTAATCCAGAGTTTGTAAGAGCAAAGGGTGCAAGTGCATTTGGGCTATTCATGACGTCTCTGGCCAACCCTTCCAGGACTCTGCAAAACAGAAGGAAGGAAAACATGAAATTGCCTAGGAACACATGAGTTTCTTGTGGGTGTTATGGTAAACTCATTATTAATTCTGGAACCAGATAGAGAAGAGTAAGCAGCAGGAAAAAAGAAGGATAGATTCCGTTGTGGTGATCCAATATGCACCCTACCCTACAGGGAGTCCTGCTCTTCCTCATTCTTCCGTAGAGTGAGACACGGATGCTTTCTGCCTTTTAAACTTGGGGTGTGCCTCGAGTACAGCAGGCGATGGTTTTCACTTGTCTGTCTCCCAACAAAGTTTCCAAAGAGTCAGGGCCTAAGTACAGTGTCTAGCACGGGGCCTGCCAAAGTGCTTTGAATGAATAAGTAATTAATTGCATTCCATAAATGAGTACAAGTGAGGTCTAAACTTCCCATAGAATGACACAGAAAGGAGCTGGTGAAGGCAAAGCCAAAACCCGCTTCACTTGATCTTTTCTGCAAGATAAAAATATAGCAGGTCGAATCATCTCTCTGTGATTTTTAGAAACATGTTATTTTAGGAATATGATTCATGGGGGGATAAAGACCACATTCATGTAAAATGTCTGTCAGTGTTGTAAAGTTCTGTGGTATTTTGAATATTCCTTTTTTTCTACTTGAAATCGGAATCTTGAAATCAATTCACATTATTTAGGGTTCTCCAGAGGACAACTAATAGAATGCATGAATCATCTTTCCTTCACCTATCATTATTATCTATCCACCAACCATTATCTATCATTTGTGTATCTACCCGTCATCTACTATCTGTCTATCTATCATTTAGCCAAAGAAATGCATTATAAGGGATTGGCTTATGTGATTTTTGAGACTGGTAAGGACAAGTCTACAGTGTGAACAGCCAGCAGGGAGAAAGGTGATACCATAAATTTCAAAGGCAATCTACTGGAGAAATTCCTCCTCCCGTTGCAAGGTCTTTCCCTTTCATCTTCTTCTATGCAAGTCTCACTCTTACTGGACAGGCTTATCCAAACTGTACAACTTATGCAACCTGCTTTATTCCACCAATTAAAATGTTGATCTTGTCTAAAAACACCATTGAAGCAACACTCAGAATCCCATTTGACCATTAAATACAAAATTAACTGTGCCAGCATTCATGTGGCAAGGTCTCTATAGACCATTTATTGTCTATCACTCTGCTTGGCAGTGTCTGAAGGAAACAATGAAGCTGGATACTGCTAGTTTTGTGTATGTGCCTGGCACGGACTCTTATTTCAGAGATATCTGAATTCTAAGCTCTATTGCGCTAATGAAATAGCAGTGATAATATAGAATTAACATTTTTTATCTCTTATATTTTAACATAACATTTGGCTTTTTATTGAAAATAATTTTTTCCATACAATTCTTTCTGTTTATGGTTTAACCCCCCTCATCTCTCAGATTCTCCCACCTCCCTCTCTTCCAATTCCATGCCTTCTTTCTCTTTAGAAAGCAGATAGGAAATCAAAAAACCAACCAAACAAACAAGCAAAAGAAAAAGCACAAGAAACACACACATGCACACACAAAACCCATAAAACACAAAATCAGAAACTATAATATATAAGTAAAAGGCCTCTAAGATAAAAAAAAAATCCCAAACAAAACATTATGAGTCAAAACATCTCCAAAAACATCTACTACTACTGTTTGGAAGACACTGTTTCCTTGATGTCTTCCATCCCTACTGGCTCTTACAATCCTTCTATTCACTCTTCTACATGACTCCCTGATTCCTGAAATGAGGAGTTTGATGAAGACTTTGAGTTTAGGACTGAATGTTCCAAAGTCTCTCACTGCACATTGTCCAGCTGCGGGTCTCTATATTAGCTCCATCTATTGCATGAGGAAGCTTCCCTGCTATGGCTGAACAAGACCCTGATCTATGAGTAGAGCAGAATGTCATTAGGAGCCATGCTATTGCTGTGTTCCTCTGGCAGAACAGTAGTACTTGGTTTTCCCCTATTTCCATGGCCTATCTCGTCTCAGATTATATTGGCTGCCTGACAAGTGTCAGTCAGGCATGGGTTCCATCTCATGGAGTGTGCCTTAAGTCCAACCAGAGAGTGGTAGGTGACTCCCACAACTGTTGTGCTACTATTGCACCAGCATATCACTGTAGATTGAAGTGTTTGTGAATTATCACTTTTTCTTTTTTTTAAGACTCTTGTTATATAGTTCTGGCTGACTTGGAACTCTCTACAAAGGCCATATTTTCTTTAAAATTTCTTCCTGAGTGCTGTAATTTCAGGTGTGCATCATCCTGCCCAGCCTGTTGAATTGGTCAATGGCTTTGGGCATTAGGAAGCTCTCATTTTAAGCATGTGACTGGTGTATTCTATTTTCATGTGCATCAAAACTTCCACTTCCAATGTAAGATTAGAAATGATGTCAAAATAACCAACAGCCAAAATTTTAGTAATACTTCTGATGCATAGTACACCGGGGGAAACGATACATGGAGCTGGGCATGGTGCCGCATTCCTGTAATCTTAGGATTCAGAAGCAGAGGAAGGAAGATTGACAGGAGTTTGAAGCCATCCAGAGCTACATGGTGAGACCCTGTCTTTAATTAAAAGACCTCAAGATATTATAAGGTCTTGCTATTCCTATTGGTGGCCCTCCAGAACTGAATGCTAAGATCCTACTGCTGAAGACAACACTCACCTTGCTTTTCAAGATGCAAAGAAATCAAGCTGGAACTGAGCTGGAAGCTGCTTCCTTGCTGGCTAGCTTTCACAGTGGTGGAAGGTGCTATGCAGGCTGCTGGGGTGAAAAGGAATCAAAGGTCTTACCAAGTTGTGAGACTCATTGACTCTAATACCAACCAGCCAGACAAAATGTCCCCACTGGTACAATAGAATATAACTCTTAAGAGTGTAACCAACTATGATTTTCACAACTCTTTGATTGGATTTGAGACCTATTCCACGAGGGGGAGAATTTATGGCTGGCACTCAGTCAAAACCTCATGGCTGAGGTGTTCTTAGGTCCCAAGAGTTGTTCAGCTAAATTGACAAAGCATCAAACTACTTTCTAAATATTTATGCTTATATACATGGGCAATACTCCTCCTAGACTTAATCAGAGAAGCTTCTCTTTGCAATGAACAGTGTCGAACACAATGTGTCTACATGACCATTTAGCGTGCTGAGAATAAGTGTTGAGTGCTCAACTCCAAACAGGGCATTAATCCCATCCCTTGTAAATTTCAGGCATCACTGCAGAAGCGAGAAATGATGCGAGAGAGAGCTGGAAGATAAGAGAGGGGCGGTGAAATGCTATTGTGCTGGTTAATTTCTGCCAAGCTGATACAAACTAGAGTCACTTGGGCTGAAAGAATGGAACTGAGAAAATGCCTCCATCTGATTGGCCAGTAGGAATATGTGGATGGATGACATTTTCCAGATTGTTAATTGATGTGGGAGGGCCCAGTCCACTGTTGGTGCCATTCCTGGGAAGGTGGACCCAGAACATACAGGAAAGGTAGTTGAA